CCCCCCCCCCCCCCTGACATGGTTATACATAGTGCATTGATCAATGATAGATCCCTATCCTTAGGAACATGGTTATAGAGCATTGCATGACCAGCTTTCCACTGCAAAACATTAGATGTGTAGATGTAAGATTATCCTTTCCATGGATATTCTGTAATTTGTGTAAGTTTTTAAAGTTATTTTGCTGTTATTTTTAATTGAATTTTTTATAGCTTTTTACTTTGAGTGCTATATAAATTTATGTTTTTATTATTTTTATGTATAAATTGAGAGAATATATATATGACATCAATATTCCATATCTTGCATTCCAAGTTTTTAAGTTATATAAGGGATGTATGGCAATGTAAACACCAAATGTGTTCCTTTCTTACAGTTATTTAATCCAATATTTTTAATGATTGACTTTATATAGTTTACTTGATTTGTTGTGCATATTATTTAAGTAACAACTAGTTTTAACAATAAATGTGAAAATACTCAGCGTTATTTATTATGAGTTGTCATTAAAAATTGACACCAAATAAAAAAAATCAGACTTTATGTTTTTGATTATGATATTGAGATAATTTATTCAATTTGAGTAAAGCAGCATATGAAATTTACTACTCATAGGTAGAATAAAGTATATTGAGTCAATTACAGTAGCATATGCAATGGGAAAGTGAGTAGTTGGAAGAATGAGGTAATTTTTAATTGGTGTTATGGTTTGCCCAGCAAATTTCCCAACAAGAGGTCTGAAATGTGCGATGGTGTCAGAACCAAGAGGCCAACTAGATCCTTGGTCGGGCCGGGAAAAAAATCCCTGGTAGTCTTCGCAGTAAGTGTTTTTACAGCTTATTATGCTCCAAATTGTGCTTTTAGACCACAATATTAGGGAATGGCAATCAAAATAACGTTATTTGGATAGAATTTTTTTTATATTATTTTTTATTCAACGACCTCGTCGTGGCCTCAAGGCCTGTCCGACGAAGGAGAGAATTCCCCCGTGGGCACCACCGCTGGTGGTGGGGTGGGGTGAATAAAACTTTTTGGGGACTTGCACTTCATTATTATTATTATTATTATTATTACCTTGGAATGGATATGCCACTGACTGTTATTGTAACCTTTAATGTGACCCACTATAGGGTCACATTATTGCAGTATACAGACACGTATATCTTAAGCAAATAGTTGCATAATAGTTGTAAATATAGCAAAAGCACCGTAACAACACAATATATTAAATGGAATACAATATTTTATCTTTTTGCAAATGATTAAAAATATACATCTGATTGCAAAATTTATTAAAATATTCTTTAAAAAAAGGAATTTAAAGCATAGGCATTTGTAAAGAAAAACTCAATTTGTTCAGTTTTCAAAAGGTGTGTCTGATACATCAATGCTTTTTGTTCTTGCTGTTCGTTCCCTCTTTCCATCAGTCAACTGGTAGGCCGGCTTGTATCGTGCAATGCCATACTTGTCAACAAATCGAAGCACTGGATTTGGAAATGTGTTATTTCTACTACCCAGTGATGTATATCTATAATTTGAAAATAAATATAATATTAGCTCTTATTCTGTATGTATTTGACAACCCTGCCCATTATATAAGTATAACTTATATAATGTCAAAGTTATTGGTGTCAGCTCTTAGCTATATAAACAAAAATAATGCAACTTAAGGAGAATCTTTTTAGAGCTACAATGAGCCAATTAATAGGGACTTATATTATTTACCATGGTTAATAGATACATAAACAACTTCGCAAAACCATCTCTAATCTACAGGCTATACTTAGCCATGCAGGAAATTCAATATCAGTTCAATTTCAGTCCATATTATTCAATCAGGCATTTATTTATACAAAGCGGAGACATGCTTCCTTAAAATAGAGCAGTGATTTGTAACCTCATTGGGAGTAATTCTGTTGTTATCTTGACATTCAAATAATATTTTCTCCATAGTGTTATTAATGTAATATATATTTAATGCCAAGTCCATCTATACTTTACCCTTGGTCATATAGTGAGCAATATGGTACTTGTAAGGTCCTGAGCAATGCCCACACATCACGGTAAGTCCACTCCAGAATAGGATTAACCCGCATAAAACGAGGCCAGTCGTCATCCGTCATACTAAACGCTTCTAGATGATCTGGTAATAATAGAAAATAAGCACATTCAAATACAGTGTTAATTTTTAATCAATATGGATATCTGATCTGAAAGCAATTATAAGTTTCAAAAATAATAACATCAAAAACAAGCAAGCGAACATAAGATACATTAAAATAACAGAATCTAGTATTTTCATTATGTTATCATGGAAGGGATTATTGAGGACAGAGAAATATAAAATACAACCCAGATTTCGGAATGTAACAGACGCCAAGCAGGTCTTTCCTAGACTAGGTATTTTGGTAAATTTTGTTAAAACTTCTGAGTATCCATTAGACATAGTAAATAATGTTGATTTCTACAAAGGAAACTACTTTGTCTATTTTCAAACTAGTGCACCCTACCAAAACCTTGTATTATATTCTAGCGTGCCATTCAGTCCTTGCTCAACGATGATGTGATAAGACCTATTTTTCGTTTCTTAGTAAACCACTATTCATAATTTTTTGTAATTGACCAGGGGTGTAGGCTGGTTTGGCCTAGGGTGGGGGTGCAAAGATTATAAAATGTGGAACTAAATCCCTATTCCAATGAAAATTTAATGATCATTTTCAGTTTTTTAACCCACTCCGTGGTAATAATTTGCCACCATGGGGGTGCCTCCACAACCCCGCTCCCCCGCCCATGCTGACTCTATGAACTTGAAATGCTTTACCTGAATAAGGATCAGATTTTCTTGTTCCCATTATGACAGCTTTGATAAGTGGATGACTTACTTGCAACGCTTTGAGGCCTTCCTTGATTCTTCCATGAATTCTAACAGGCGTTAAATTGTATCTAATTCAAATATATAATAATTATATAAGCACTGGAGTACTATCGTACTTATTAGAATAAATGCCCCACTTTAAATAAACGCCCCCCCCCCTCTACAGCCTCATTTGGAATCAACACCTCCCCTGAATAAACGCCCCCTCAAAACCCTTCTGAACAATAAATGCCCCAAGGCATTTATTTGAATAAATACGGTTTAATTACTAAGGAAATCAAACTAAAATCATCATTACTTTAGGAATAAGTATGGTTTTAAAGCTTTTAAACACTTATAAAAAAAAACATCCTAAAGATTATTATTGGCCTTGTGTCTCAGTTGGTGGAGCATCACTAGTAGCAGAGGGTCAAGGGCTCAATCCCAAATGGGACAACATATTTTTTCATTAAACTTTATTTTGCTTTTTCTGTTACCTTGTAAATGTTTCTGTAATAAACAACTCCTGTTGTTGGAATGATGGTTTGCCTTCTATGTATAAAGCTTGCAATTCTCCTGGTATATTATCACCATATTTTCTAATAGTAAAATGAATAGTAAAGCTATGTTTAGACTATGAAATTATATTTGACAAAAACATGTGACATGCCTAAATACGGTCATCATGATGTCACATCATGACCAAATACAGTACAGGTACATTATAACTATATATGGGCATACAATGTTTTTTTTGTCAAAGAAAATTTGATAATCTAGAAAGCATATGAACACCAGCAAAAGGAAAGAAAAATTGTCCACTTTTATAAACAACTATTGTGATATAATTTATAATAAAAATTGATTATTAGAATCAGAGATTATTTTTATACTGTACTTCAAGAAAGATAGGAGGTACAGGTGTATTAGATATGCAGTTGAAGCTATAAAACAAGGCTTCTCAACTGCTATCTGAAAAGAAATATAAATCTTGCCTTCCTTTAATTCCAGCATAAAAAAAGTCTAACAAAAACAAAAGACTATTAAATGACTGCTGGGTTATGCATTATGTACCAGGTTTCTACCTAGTAATAAATAGCAGTACCCCTTTTGGCCATTAGTTCTTGTAGGGTTACCCTCATGAAATGATGTTGAATAAATAAAAATTAATAATTATGTGTAGGATGTAATAATTAAATAATGATAAAAAAATAACAAAAAAAATAGTGTTTACGGACAGTCTAGTTACACTTATGCAGGCTATGTGTAGGGCATTCTACCTGTGGAGCTTATTTGAAGATACATAGAAGGATAAATAATATAAAGTTGTGCCGATCAAAAAATAGGACTTCAATATCTTTGTACCTTTGAACCACAGCATAGAATAAGTGAACAAGAATGGTGCAGTCTTTGCCACCATTGAAGCCAACACATATCTCTTCTAGTTGGTACTTTTCGAGGGCCTCCTCTAGAACCCTAACAGCCATGCTTAGAGGCTTGGTCAACTCAGGTTGTGTTGTCAATTGAAGAAGATTGTACACTTTGTCAGCTGCAGATTTCACAGGGTCTTTCTCATACTGAACAATGTGCTCTAAATATAAAAAGTATATTGTAATCATTTTATTTTATCTCTAAAAATAATGATGTGTAGTGTTAGCGGACTGTAACAAAGGCCTGCGCAGGGAATACATCCTCCACACAAAAATTAGGCCCAGAAATCCGCCCGTAAATTTCAGAAAATAAGGGCCGATTTCGACCAGGGGTAGATCCAATAGGAGGCACGGGGCCACGTGCCCCCTATTTTGCTACTTAATTTATGTGTTACTTACTTACCTATTCAGAAAATGTTGTGCCCCCCACCCCCTGTTTGAAAAATTCTGGATCCGCCCCTCTCCACACAGATTTTGCCGAAATATAGCCTTTGGTTGACCTAATCTTAATAATAACCAATCAATGTATTATGCAGCTAGTAGTTACGATTCTGCGCACCTATTTTTCTAGCAATTTTCCGTGCAAATTTGAGCTAGATTTTGAGATATCACCCATGCAATTAAAATACTTTACAGTCTGACAAAGGTCCATTGCCTGCTACTACACATAAAATGACCCAGATGTGGACAGTTACCTGACGGCAATATGCTAGTGAGCTCGGCATATGCTGCTTCTAACTTGGCCTCATCTTGACACTCTAGGCTGACCTTTACCTTGTAATAGCTGAAAGGTCAAATGACGGACCATTTTTAATTTGTCTTTATTTGTCTAGTCATAACAAAAATACACAATCAACATACTCACTAAGCCAACTCTGTTCAAACTATTGTATTTAATATTATGAGACAAATATCTGTAATCAGTGGTGCCAGGCCTGGCATTCATTATATTTTATGTACAGTGCTTACAAGTTTCTTTAACATTAGCCATTTTTCAAATGTAGCATATTACTATTATTATTAGAAAGCAACTACATTTTTATAGGAAATATATGTAAATAAATAAACATAGATTAACTACCAACCTGTTAACAAAATCTGGATAGGAACCCAGCTGTATAAAGTCCTTGTACTTATTGTTAAATTCATTCAATATTCCCGCTATACTTATCTCATCACATGCCAAGTACACATCACGGTAATAGAAGCTTACATCAGATTTTTGAAACAATGTTTTCTACAAAGAAAAACAGAAGGTATAAAAAAACAAAAGTAAAACAAAACCATTCTTAGTCTGCAATATGTAATAGTACAGTAGTTTCAAGTCATTAACAGCAATTCCTTTCCTTCATCCCTAATTGCATGATGATGAAAATTAAAGAGGTTGCCTTTTATAGATTGAATGCAAGAAGAAGAGATAAAAACATTTTACCTTAAGTAGTTTGAAGTCTTTCTTTAGAATTTTTGGGACTCCAGGAAACACCACAACATTTTTAACTGTAATCAAAGGATACATATTTTTCTCACCAGTGCCTGCGTCATAGCCATAATGCAATTTGGCAGATTTTGGGATCTGAGGAAACATATAATTGTCAATTTACATAAGACATCTTAGAATTCTTCATGATAATAGATTAGACTCAATGGAGAATTCAACTGAAGATATCCTATATATTTTTATATTTAATTACTGTAATTATAGGTACTGATGTGAGGTTATTTATAAAATGAACGTTTTATTATTATTATTATTAGTGACAGAAATGTAGAATTGAGCAGTAGATTAGTGGTTATGATATTCAAATCTGGTCAAAAACAGGATTTTTTTGAACCACTAAAAAAAATTGTACTCCCTTAGTTCATAAACCATAATCTCATTCCCTTGTGGCAAGACATTCACTCTTGCGAAGAATGAAATCAAATGTAATATTTATAAACATTTCAGCCACTGCTTGATTAATGGTCTAATTATTGATTTTCTCTGGTAAATTAAGACAAGAATTAAAGAAGGAAATGAATTTTATATCATTTAAAGTGCAGTATATTTATAATCAGTCATACAAAAGCCATTTTCATCTGTGGAGAATCCAGACTGTGTTCAGCTCCAAAGAATTGTTTGCAAAGTGCCACCAGCTCATCATTCAGCTCTAGGCTTTCATCAAATGCCATGGCAACACCTAAAAGAAAGACATAGATTCATTTCCAATGAATGAGTACAGTATAAATAGTACAAACTTATTCAAACAAACCTCTGTTCACATCATGCTGAAACCTTGCAACAACAGCACAATTGCCAAATATTTTTATCCAATGTTTGTATCCATCCAATTTTAAATGTCTACTGATTTTGGCAAACTTTAATTATTTTACCTCATTATCAATATTTTTAGATCGATATTTTTAGCATTGTGGTTGCTAAAATCCATTTTTTTTATCAGGGCGAGAAAGTGTGTGCTACCACACAACCAAGGAGAATGTTATGCAGGTAGTTGGCATTGGATTGTTTTTTTGGTCAAACCGGACAGGTTATTTTGACCAAAATTAATCTAATATGGAGATGGCTTTAGCCTTGTTGGAGTCAAATCCCCTATATACAGTAAAATTATACAACTAGCAAAATAATAAATTTGCTAACTTTTGAAAGTGATGTCATCATGAGTTGGCCCTATTCCACCAGAGGTAAGTACGTGCGTATATTGGGATGAAAAGCTTGCAATTTCATTTGCAACTGAATGCAAGTCATCACCAACTACTGTTATCTGTGTATGAGAAAATAAAACAATTATCCAAATTATGTAATTTACACACAAAAACATGAATTTCAGGAGATCATGAATCATACAATCACATGCAGTATGGATCTTACTTTTTACCTTTTCAACTTTGATTCCCATTTGAAAAAGCTCATTACATAAATAATGTGAGTTGGTGTCTTGGACGTGTCCTTTTAAAATCTCATCACCAATAACTATAATAAAAGTAAAAAAAAAAAAAAAAACATAATATCAAGTATTAGTCCATAAATATAAATAAATATTTTTCTAAATCATAGCTGTAATTTTTAACAATGATTAATTGTTAAAATCGATTAACTAAGGGCACATACTGTAGAAAAAATTATTAAATCACTCTTTTTTAAAGTGATGAGGTCGGGCGATTTTTTTTTTTTTTTAATCGGAACAATAAAATATTGTTTTTAATTGGCAAGAATATTGTAAAAATTGAATAAAAGCTGGTTTAATTTTATTGTTTTTTTAAAGAAATGTATTTCCAGTCACAAAATTGTATTGTTTTTTTAAACTGTTGAAATAAATGATGTGGTAAAAAAAAAAAAAAAAACTTTATTCCCAACATTTATATACATATAAACAACATTTCTCAAATTTTTGATGCAGGCGGAGTGATAATCTAACAATTTTTTCTATGTGCCCTAACAATTATATCAATTAAACAATTTAAGCAGCTTATTTTCTAGCTAAGCTGACCTAGCTAGGGCTTAGGGCAGGCCTTCATTCTAGACGTTGAGCAGTCTGACCTTGTCTGGGATTGAGAAGCTCATATAGGCCTAGATAAGGCCTAGGGCCTAGTAGTACCATAGGCTGGGCCTAGGCCCTATTTATCTACGCGCCGGGTTTAGTTTGGAAAGGCCGGGACCGGCGACCCGGGTGGTGGTCTCATTAGGCCTCTCTAGCTAGGCTAGACCTAGGTTGGGTCAAACAGTTGTAGTACTTACTTATAATGCCAGCAGTGGGTTTATCATTTGAAGACATAGCTCGAAGTTGTATTGATCTTGATACAGTACTCAGATGTCGACGGAGCACTCGTAAGCGATAAGCAGCCGTCCTAAACATTAGTCAATTTCACATCAATTTTCTTCTCCCTTCGTTTTCTTGCATGCTTGACTGGCTTCTTTCACGCATGGCTGGTTGCACATTCAAGCAGCTGACACTCGAAGATGGTAGGGGGCGTGTTGTTGTTTTGGTGCATAGAAGAAGTTGTAGAAAGAAAAGGATGGCTGGGTCCAGCAAGGGAAGTTGTTTAATCATCGTTAGTTCACATTCAGATGGTATGAAAGTGTATTTATAGTGTAGGAATCAGGATTGGATACACTGAATTAATATAAAATTCGACTTTGCAGCAGAGTTTTGCAATCTGCAACTGCATGGGCTAGGCTAGGCCTAGAGCGGCGGCGTAATCAGTCAGGTGGTCCAGATTCAGTCCAACTAGCCTAGGCCTAGAGGGAGTGTCAGTTCTTGGCTGGAACCGAAAAATGCATGCCTAGGCATAAACTGTAGTAAAGGAAAAGCTTGGTTATAAATTATGGCACCGGAAATGGCACTCTCATGCTTAAATTTGGAAATAATATTTTTTTTGTCTATTTTTTTTATAATTAAAAAACATTACCACTACTACATTATTATGTTGTACTGCAGCATCGAGTCAATTTATACATTTAAATACATGTGTAGAAAGACAATTTCAAACAACTACTAAAAATGTAGTTGATTACCAAAAATGTGATGACTTCAGGTTCATTGTGCCCATGAACCCTACAATGGGCACGGTATTCCTCTGTCCTTGAGTCTTGTGTTGCCTGTTGGGGATGTTGCCCTGCCATCATTCAGGGGCTTTCAGATGGCACTTAATAGGTAATGAATTCCATAATTGTTGCTGGATTTAAAACCATAATCATGTTGTTAGCTGAGCATCCATACTACCACCGATAATAGTCTAGGCCTAGGTAATAATTCCTGATATTGTATTCTATTTCAAGCCTAGGCACTTTATTTCTCTACCAGTGGGCCTACTAACATGTCCATTATTTTTAATCTTTTAGGTGTTCTTGCACAGTCTTTTATACATTCCTTTACACTGACTCACTCAGCCTTTAATGTTCAGTTAGCAGCACCAGTGGTAAGAATTAACTCTTTGTCCAAAAAATATATTTTAAAAAAAATTGTCATAAGAATAATGAATATAGTGCACACATTTGTTTCGAATTTTTTTTCTAAATCCGCATTATTATTTTGATCATTATTATTACTATTGATTATTATTATTATATATTAATTATTATTTTTAATATGGTTATTGTTATCACTTTTGTCAGTTTTTAATGTTATCTTTTTTGTCTTATTTCTTTGAACAGGCGAAAGCTATTGATTTCATTAAACAAGATGATAACAGTAGAAAATGGTTAAATGAATTTCGTACAAAGCCTTTTGCTACACCAGTCAGACTGGAAACTATTGAAGGTAATTAGCATATCTACATTACAGTAAATTTAATCACTGTATTTTGTCGTCTTTCAAATTTTATTTATCATAACTATATTTTATGTATTTATTATTATCATCATCAGCAACAGCATAATCACTCATCTTTTTTGAAATCTTTTAAACTTTTTGGAGTAAGTTCAGATACCATTTATTAGAGACAGTAACTGATATACTTATCTGCTCTAGGTTTAGTGTATGTTTTCCATTCTTTAGTTCTGTCCACACCGGTTTGTGATATTTCCTCTTTGAAGTTTTAAATTATAGTTTATTGTGGTTGTTTAGTGTTTTTGAAATGAACAATAAATAAATGAGTGAATGAACAAACAAATAAATGAGTATGTAACTTACATAAATATCTTCTATTCTAACCCTTTCCAGTTTGTCCCATTACCATTGCCTGAGGCTGTACTATTTCTACTACAAGTGCAAAGACAAAATTTAAAATTTGATATCTTTTAAATCATCGCGACGCCATATGACTGGAAAGGGTTAAAATGTTGAAAAGCTTTCTAGAGTAGCAAAAAGTTTAACAGTATCAACAACATGTTTTGTAGGTAGTTTAATGTAGTTGTTTTTTTTTTATTAGTTTTATAAATTTGCTTGTATTTATCATGGAGCTCTCCTTTTTTGCAGCTAGTCGGTATTCAGCCCTTCTTTTCCCCGACGCACCTGGAGCATTACATGATCTGTCATCCAACTCTGAACTTGCCAATATTATCCAACATTTTATTCACGAACAAAGTAAGTTTGATATATAAGTGCCTCTTGTGTTTGAATTTCGTGTGACATTAATGATAAAAAATTGTTTCAATATAGCGTTGGTTTAAACTAGCATCCTTCCCAAAGGAGGTTCTTAATGCTGCTTGTTCTTGGTGGTGTTGTTAAAAGTAGTACTACTTATTGTTACATTTTGTCAAATCTATTTTTATTAGAATATAATTTTTAGTAAACATTTGTTTTATAAAAATTTCTTTATCTAGTTCACAACCATTGAGACACTGAGCATAACAGATATAATATAATATAATATATTGTAAGTCAATCGTGATGTCATCCCTGCAACTCCCAATGTTAGTTTCCTATCTCCAACCGTGCACTAATTTTTCGTTGTTACATGGCTTGCTTTATCTTTTTTTGGTTCACATGCAAAAGGCCAATTCAATCACCATATTGCATACCGCAATGCATTTTAGGCTAGTGTTTTTACACTTAGAACTACAATGCATGTCTGCGGAAAGAGAGGAATTTTTTGCATTAATCTAACCTTCAAAAATAATTTTCACATAGTGTATGATATGCAACTATTGTAATTGCTTATTTGTTTTTCAGAGCCTATTTGTGCCATTGGATCAGGTGTAGCTGCACTTTGCTGTGTCAAAGATAAGTACAAATGGGGCTTCTCCAACTATTCAATGACAGGCGTGAGTATTAATAGCCCAAATTTACAGTAGTACATAATCACTTTCAGATTATAAAATATTAATAATAACTGTAATGGTACGAGTAATAATGATAATTATTATGATAGTGAAAATGAAAACAACAGCAGAGGCATCAACAACAAAAATAAATATATACAAATTTTATTTTGTTTAACTAGCCAGAAATGATTTAACAATGTATATATATGCAAGAAACCAGATGAAATTATTGTATAATTCAGTGTATAACAAAAACAAATTTGCAAAATTTTGATAATATTAATCCATATTTTTATATATTCTTTCATTTGCTTTCATTATATTCTCTTAGCCATCTGTGTATGAACTTGCCCAGTCATCTGGTTTTGGTGAAATTCCAATTATTCTTGAAGATTTTATCAAAGATAATGACGCTACTTTTAGTGGTAAGTTTTGGTGTTTTTTTTTGTATTTCATTTAGTGATTTAAC